CCATATCTTCTATACCAGAAGATGTCTTCAGATAAAAGTGATATATTGCTTACTGTAGAGCAGATTGTATTGGATTTGATAGCGAGTTTGATGGGCTGTAAGAAAGTAACCATAGAAATACCAAAACACTGTCGAGATTGGTATAGGAAAGATAATTACGATATAGTTGGCAAATGTCGTAAGGTCGTCTACAGTGTCGAACGTAGTCGTCATCGCTTTTGCCTGATTGTCTATCTCCTTGCGGAGATTCATCAATTGCATTTGACCGGCGGTAGTTGTACGATACGGGGTCTATATTACCGGGACACTCAGGTGGTTCGGTCGCAGTCCTACATTGATGCCGCTAAAATGGATGTTTGCCGCATGCTAAACACGGCACCTGTTAATCTGGGCATTTTGTCAGCGTCGAAGGGACTAATTACAGGTGTGAAGTATTGCAAAATATTGATATCGTCTGTTTTGTATTTTGTCGAAAAATATAACTAATGGGCATTTCTCTTAATTGTAGGAGACATTAAGCTGGTCATGAGCAACGGCGATGTATTGGATTGCAATCTATATTGCGGAGCTATAACATTGCCAACGGATTTCGAAAATGTGGAACGAATCGTGACAAATGCCGAAATGGTTTTGATCGTTGAAAAAGAGTCAGTTTTTGAGAGCTTGCTGGCTTGTAATGCCTTGAGCACGTTTGGCTTACGTTTCATATTGTTAACGGGCAAGGGGTATCCGGATTGCACTACACGCCGTATTGTATACCGACTGACCGTCGAATGCAATTTACCGGCATATATTTTAGTGGATGCTGATCCGTTTGGCATTGAAATAATGCTCGTTTACCAGCTCGGCTCGCAGGCCATGAGTTTCTCGGCCCAGAGTTTGGCCACACCAACGCTCCGTTGGATTGGCCTGCATCCATCCGAAATAGATAGCATTTCCAAGCGCTCGGTTCCACTCACTCAGCACGACAATAAGAAGATTGTTGATATTCTGTCGCGCAGTAATCTTAGTTTGGGTGTCAGGCAGGAGCTACGCACGTTGCAGCAAGTCCAGCTGAAAGCTGAAATCGAGAGTGTTATTGATTTCCTAAGTCCCTACTATATACCAACTAAAATCAATAGAAATTTGTTTATATGATATTGTTATGAATACATTATCACCTATTAATATATAATGTAAATAGGTCTTGGCATACGTCAAGCTGTGATTATTTGAATTATCACATAAAATTGCTCTGTTTGCATATAGAATTATAGTAGATATTTTTTGGTAAAATTTTGTTATATCATTTTGTATAATTTTGCGCCTTGCTATACATTTTTATGTTTATTATTAAATAAATAAGAATTTGCCTATATTTTGTTTAAGTTTTGGATCAAATTCATGCTAATTTTTTGTATTATTTTGATCTCGCTTTTTGTAAGAAATTGATTTTACAATTCCTCATAAATTTCTGTAGTTTGATTGTTTGATTGCCAGAACGATATGAATACTTATAAATAAATTTAATATTTATATATCTATAATTAAACATTATAAACCTTCATGATTTATTCAACTAGTATGTGCGTAAAGCGTACAAAAATCAATATGCCTTACAGTTTTATAGCTTCCAATATATTTTTAGCTTAATTTATATTTAGTTAAATTGTTGTTTTCGAACAAGTGCACCTGCGCCGCTCCTTACTCAATAGCCTAATGCCACGACAATCGGGGTTTCTTCTATTGTCGATTGAACAGTAAGAAATACAAACACAGGAACGCCGTCCTCCCATTTTCTATACAATTTCATTTTTTACCACTTGAAATTGGCGTGACCTACTAGACCGTAGGGTAAAAAAGGCCGCTGAACTTTGATATTTTTATCCCATGAAATTGATGGAGACTTTGCTATAAGAAGTATTCAAAGATTGATTATTTTCTTAAATATTTTGTACCTTGTATTCACGCCCTATGATTTTTGGGAAAACACAAAGCTTGACCTAATTTGAATTTGTTTTTGTTTTGATAAGAATATTTCGATTATAAATATTTTTATTTACAATATTATAAAGCAAACAAAAATATTTGTATTTTACATATATTGAAAAGATAAGCCAAGCAGCTTTTTATGAAGGTCTGGGAAACTGTGAATTCTCTGGTTGCCCTATGGGATGGTATTGGAAGAAATATTTACGATTTTTATGTTTCGAATAAAATAAATTAAGATTTTCTACAAAACAAAAAACAGAAAGGAAATATAGATTTTTCAAATTGTTATTCTTTATTTATAATAGGAAGTCTAGCGAAAACTTTTCTATTGTTTATTATTCAATATAAAAATCGAAAAAAAAAATCCCTTCTTGATTCTGCTATAAATTAATTATATATAGTTGTTTTATAGCAAGCAAACTTTTTTTTTAATTTAAATTTATTATTTAAATAAAACTAATTTCTGTTCTTGTCCATTTCAGATGAAAAGCGGCTGCGGAGTTATTAGAAAGTAAATGAAAATTTAAGATCTTAAGGAAACCAGAACGGCAAGTACTTTGACAGGCGGCGAAGGAGTTGGGAGCAGTCCGCTGGAGGAATAGAGATTAGTTGGCCTCTGTTGCGTCAAATAGTAATAGAGAGAAATAGAGATAGAGCGAGAGAGAGAAAGAGAGATAATATAGAGAAGAGATTTGGCTAGAAAATATGTCTACAGCAATGCGAACAACTTTGCAACCAGTTCCTGAAGCCCTGCCCGCAGAGAATGTCTCAAATGGGACGGCGACTGCGACGGCTGCAACGCCAACGTCGACGTCGACGGCATCAAATGCCACAACGACAGCCGCTGCTAGCACAACAACGTACACAACAAACACAATCAGTAGCTCGGCGCATTCTGTAAAGGATCAGCAGCAGCAGCAGCAGCATGACTCAGCCAATGCCAACATTGTCTCACTGCCACAACCACCAACACCAGCAACACCAGCCGCAACAGCAGCATCAACAGCAACAACAACAGCAGCAACCACAGCGGCGGCAGCGGCGTCAGCAACAGCAGCTGGAAATACGACAATGTTGCCAATCTCATCCTCGAATTCAGCCAGCAGTAGCAATAATACAACCACAAGCACACCTGTGGCAGCAGCAGCAGCAGCGGCAGCGGCAACAGTAACAAATGCCGCACCACCAACGACAGCAAACACAAACCACGCGTCGCACCACCAGCACAGCCATCAGCATCATCATCATGTCGCCAACAATATGGCCACAGACGGTGGACGACTATCGAGCAATAATGCCAGCACAGTCAACAGTGGTCCACCACCAGCATCATCATCAGCGATCAATCACCATCATCATCATCCACCGGGCGGTGGTGTCGGCGGCGTTGGGGGCGGTGTGGGTGGTGTCGGCGCCAGTTCCGTCAACAAGAATGTTCTCAGCACACACTCGGCGCATGCATCTGCCATCAAACAGCGAACATCATCAGCTAAGGTGAGTCGCAAATCTAATCAAACTTCAGTCTATATCATCATGTCTCAATGCTGGCACTGTAACTACGTCCCCCGGTTAAGTTAAGATCATACCTCAGTCATACATACATATAAATATGTATACTATATAGCTTATAGAATCGCTAATGTCCCATGTCCTTGATTACTGATTGTCCAAATATATCCATATATCTACATACATATGTATTCATAATGTGTATTCTTTCTATTGTAACTATTGTATAAACATGATCATTGTGTTGCAAACGTTCCACATCAAACTG